GCTGATATTGTTACTGGTGTACGTGACACGATCCACTTTGAGAAGATCACTTCCTGACGAGGATGAAAGCGATCTTTGGGATGTGGCACCAAATATTGGAGGTTTGCCACAACTACTGCTGCTACTTTCACCACCACCGCCACCACCGCTACTGTAACTGTCGTCAACGTAATTCTTATCCCCGATGAAATATTTTCCGTTATCTCTCTCGCCAAACTGTGACGTTCCTCCTTTCATTTTTGCTCCTCCTTCCATCACTTCGCTGCTGTTAACACCAGCACCTTCATTCTGAGCAGAATCGCTGCCACTATCGCAACTACTCACAATGCTCACGCCACAGCTGCTGCAGTGACTTCGACTGCCACCCGAAGTTATGAGAGGCAAACTCGATCGACTGACCTTCTTACTACTGATCTTTCTGAACAGAGAAGAGTGCCTTCGTGTTTTCGAACTCAACAAATTTTCTTTGGAGTTAGCGCAATCACTGCAAATGATGACGTTGGAAGAGCTAACGACTTCAAGATCCGGATTCGGTGACAATAATATTTTATGATCGTAATTTCCTCCAAAATTGTCGACATTTTCACTTTTGTGCTTCGACTGTGGACTGGGGGAATAGAATTTGGAGTGGTGAATGTGTTTGGTGAGTCCAGTGAAAATGTTGTGAGTCTTTCTAGAAATCGACGATGTTTTGTAAGCCATGTTGTTGTTTCTATTACTGTTTTTGTTACTGTTGCCACTTCCAACTATTCTGAAATCATTTCCGTTGCCATTGTTGTTGTGACGCAGTTTGCTTGGAACCACCTTGATGGATGTGGACGACATAGGAACAACTTCAAGCTTCACTTTGTCCTGGGTGCCGAGCACAAGACTGAGCACCTGCGTTGTGTGTGTGTGGTAGCATGACCCATTTGCCAAAGAATGCAACGACTGAACAACAACAATATGTAACATTTCATAAGAAGCAATTAAGCTTATGGAAATTAACATAATTAATTGATGGATTGGTTTCAAGTTGTAAAGGGCGTAACGTCAGTTGCATACAAAAGTGCATGATGCGGAAATGACGAGCAAACGCAAAAAATTGATAAATTGAAGTTGTCATGAACAAAATAAAGACCTGAATGTGTGAGAGACCTTGCACGAGTTTGTCGTTCACTTTGAAGATCATATCTCCAGTTTTTAGACCTGCCTTGTTAGCTGGTCCGCACTCATCTACGTGCTGGTGCAAACATTATCATGACGTTAATCAACGTTATAACAATTCATTATTACCATGATTCTCGTCACTAACTTCACCACCACAACTACATCATCCTCATCATCATCAGCATCCTCATCACCACCATCCTCCTCATCACCATCATCGTCCTCCATGAAGTAAGAGGCAGTAACCTCAATAATATGATGCAGGACATGGTCAGTTGAATCACTTTTGTAAACCCTGATAGCTCTGAACAAAAAGCCAAACCCTCTGTGACCCTTCTTTATAATTATAGGAGCTTTCGGGCCCACCAAGAATAATGAAGTACCCATTTCGTTGTTGTTGCTGCTGATGTTGTCATTACTGCTGTTCTTGTGAGTGTCAAGTTGTTGCGGATTGGCATCACAATCATTTTTGTTGGTTGAAGCTGATTTGTTGATGTAGATGTAAGACCAGTGATTGTTTGAGGACAACGTTGTTGATGTCGATGCTATAGACGATGTTGTTGATGTCAGTGTTGGTGTAAGTTTTGTAAATTTTGTTGGCCTTACAATTCTGCTGTTAGTGCTCATAAAGTTGTTGCCGCTATCGACCGTCGTTCCAGAGCTTGCTGTCAACATTGTTGATGTTGTGAGAGCAGGCGTTGCTGCTGTTGGTAGCGGAAATGATTCGGTTTCAGAAAAGTTCCTACCATCAGCGCGTTGTTTCATTTGCAGTAATGGGGAAATTTTCTTCACTGACGAGGCTGCAGCTGTTGACGATGTTGATATTGAAGTGGTTGACGATTTTGTTGACGATGTTGCCGTTGTTGATGATGTAGATGTCGTTGTAGTTGTCAACAATTTTGTTGGAAACGAGATGATCGATGACGCAACGTTATTATTATCTGCACTTGGTTTAGGCGACGATGATGATGCAGACGTCGGTGCACATGGTTTCTGAATGATCTTGCTAGTTACTTTTGACTTTGGAATGCTCGGGAATATAAACATGGTCTTTGAAATAAAAACTGGAGAGTTGACTGGCGTTAATGAAACTGGCGTTAATGAGGCTGGCGTTAATGAGGCTGGTGTCGCCACAATTGTTGCCGGTGAGTACGTCTTCGTCAATGAGGCTAGTGTCGCCGTGTTTGTTGTGGCTAATATTGGAGCTGTGCTCGTTGTTGCTGATGTTAATGTTGTTATTGATGACGATGTGGTTGTTGATGATGACGTTGAAGACGATGACGTTGTAGAAAAAGACATTGAAGATGATGAGGTTGTAAATAATGAGGTTGTAGATGATACTGATGTTGCTGCTTTTGAAGATAGACGATCATCATTACCCTCAGTTCTCCCAATTTTATCAAGTTCTTCTTGATCAGTGTTGATGATTTTAAGTTGAGATGGAATGCATTGGTGTCTCCTGCTATTCAGTTTGGGAACGAACGTCGTTGTGTGTGTTGTAGTTGAGGCTGCTCTCATTGTTGATGTCGAAGTGAGGAACACGGATGTTGTTGATGCCGTTGTTGCGGTGGACATCTTAACTACTGTGGAAACTGCTGTGGATGTTGAAATTGTTGAAAAAGTTGTTGATGGAATTATAGCTGCTGATGTTGTTGTAGTTGATGAAGATGACGATGAGCTGATTGGGGTTGATGTCGAAGCAATATCTTTTGGAAACACTGTCATGTGAACTCTACTCGACGAAGATGAGAATAAATTATTAGCCGCTTTCAGTGCCATCTTAAATACAGAAGTACTGTTAACAATATTAGATGTGGCCGACGTGGAGTGCGCTGCTGTGGCTACAGATGTCGCGGCTTCTGTTGTCGGCTCTGTGGTTGATGTCGCCGTAGATGTTATCGTTGCTGACGTCAGTGTTGCTGTTGTTGACGCCATTGTTGTTAATTTAACTTTGGAAGTTGGTGATGATGTTGACGATCCAGAGAGGACATTAGATGAGGCATGGCTCATTTCAGCGTTAGTAGTGACATTCGCAGTTGTAGTTGTTGTGATAACGGAATAAACATCAGAAGCAGGACGAGTAGAAGAAGTTGTGGATGAAATTGTTACGGTGGTGTCGCAAATGGCTGAATTAGTTGCTAAAATGTGAAGAGTGTTATTAGTGGAATTAGCAGCAGCAGCAGCAGTGCCAGAAGCAGCAACACTAGCAGTGACATCATTATTGTCATTGTTAGTGATAGTAGACAGGGTAGCAGCAGTTGTTGGAATTATTTTCAATGAATGATCGAAGTCTTTGGAAACTGTTTTCTTGTTTTCATCACCTTCCTCACCATCGTAATCCGCATCCAGCTTTTTGTGGATAACATTAGTTTTGCACTTTTGAAAGCCAATCCTTCTGTTGCAAGAATTCCCAGCAGCATAAATATTTTTATTAACATTCTTCATTAGATCGCTACCAACTTTATCGGCACGACTTTTTCTTTTATCATCATCATTCTCACTCATATCATTGTCAACAATGCTAATATTTTTATCATCATCAGCATTGCGATGATGATGGTGATCAGTGACGTCACCATCAACGTCATCATCATCATCGATACACATGTCCAACTTGGGAACCAGTTTAGCAGCAGGTACGTTGCTGGCTCGAAGTTGTGAAATGGACATTTTGGACTTCATAGCATTGCTGCGCACGATGTTGCTGTTGTCTGCTGCCAGGCTCTCGTTGATGTTGTTGTTCATAATGTTGTTGCTGTCACTGATGTTGTTGCTGTTATAGTTGCTACTGTTATCGTAGTTTTTGTTGTTTTTGAAGGGGTTTGTGATGCTAAAGCTGCTGCTGCAGTCGACTTTCTTGCCGGCTGGTAGCGAACCATATGGAGAGGTACTGCATTACAAACAACATCAACTTACAAATTGTTAAAATCATGAAACCGACCACAAAATAACCTTAACAAAGATGATTATTCTGCGATTTCTAGCAAATACAAAAAGCAAACTTAAAGGTTTGAACTGTTATACAAACAAGCAAGCCAATATAAAATTACAGTTTACATTGTTAATGAAAACTAAAAAAAATAAGCAAAACAGAATTCCAAAAAAATATTCACTTCGATTTTAATAACTTGTCAATGAAAAAATCAATAAAAAAAATTCCAAATCATAGAGGTGAATTAGCATGAATGAAACAAAGGAAGGAACAAACATTATGCAAGAGTAGTCAACTCCAGCTGCACGTGTTGTTTTTGTATGTTCGTCCTCAGGTACCTTCGGGGTGCTCGTGAGAATCTCGTCTCCTCCAGCATTTAAAACGTGTGTTTGGTCATCCTGCAGTTTGCTGTCGAAGGATTGCTGGTGCTGTTCAGTTTTTTGTTCATCCTTCATCGCCACCACGTCGGCTAACTTTCTGCTGATTTCACCTCTAATCTCTTCAAGCAATTTGAAATTAATTTTCTTCTGTTCGTTAGATGACGCTGAGTCTCTGTCAGCATCGTCATGATCCTCGATCGATTTTTCAATTCGTGCTGCTTCAGTTGTAGTAATCGTAGTATTAGTGGTAACATGGGTGGCGACAGTAGCAGTAGCAGTAGTGACGACGCTATCGAGTGTACACGTTGTGTCGGTTGCCGTTCCACTAATAATGCTCACGCAGGAGTCCGGAGGATATGTGCTTGAAGTAGCTGCGCCGATGGTTACACTGGATGGAGCGCATAACGTGGCTGGCGTGCCTGACCAGACCGGCAGCTTTCAAGTTACATTTACAGCATTTAAATAATAATTATCGCAACATTCGATTGGTTCTCAATCACCACATTCAACAACATAAAAACGTCATCCCAACGAAGCATTTATTCATTTAAGCTAACCCGAGCAAGCCCTCCAATCCAACTTACATCACGAGATGAGTCCAATGCAATACTGACTGACTCACTACCACCATCTCCAAGCAACTGCTTCAGTCCATGTGTCCTTCCATAATTGATGGAGCACGATGAGAAACTATGGAATAAGTTGCTACCATCATCATCGTCGTCGTCGTCATCATCATCGTCGTCGACGGCTGAGTGATCGTATCTGTCCAAGCGAGCTTTGTTGGTGTTCAGTGTTTATTTTCTCATTTTGTTTTGTTTCAGATTAGAAAAATTGTTTGAATTCATAAAAACTAAATTTGAAAATATATAATAACTCTCAAACTTTAAAGATTTGGTAAGGGAGAATTTTATTTAAACGAGCGTAAATATAATTTCGTAATTATCTCATCAACTGCATGCATTGTTTTACTTTTCACAATTTTAATCACCGTCCCATAGTCACATTTCTCCATCTTAATCTCCATCACCACCAGCGCCACAAATCATCAATAATCAACAAATCACCATCAACTAGTCCTCAGTCAATCCCTAGCCAACCACCAATCAACCACCAACAACCAACCAACAACCAACCAACAACTAACCAACAACCAACCAACCATCAAAATAACTCGTATCTTCTTCATGTTCCAGTTGGGGAACAAACTCAGCCTTCTGTCTCAACAGACCATCCCAATCCAGCCCATAGAAGAACACGTGACACTTCACTTCCGTCGCACCACCTGATCCCAACCGCTCGAGTGGTGAGTGCTCCAGTAACTGAATGACGAGGTCTTGAGCTTCTTCCGGCGGTGAGAATTCATCTTCCGGCCATTCAACCGGATCTGAGTGGGAGTTACGTAATTCGTTCTCGTTTTATTTGAGATTCCAAATAAAGGTACAAAAACTATATTTACAATCCTGATGCAAACGCTATTACAAATGTTATTTATATTAAAAATATAAATTAACGAGTCATTATACTATATTTAATGATAAAATTATCATTTGGAGGTTAATGTTCAAATTTTCCAACCATCACCAATGACATCACCATAAACAATCACCACGATCGTCACCAATTACACCCACCCCATCGTAATCAGCATAATCCACATCATCATCCTCCTTCTCATCATCATCAACATCATCGTCATCATCAACATCATCTTACTATTGATGATAGCAGTGAAGAGTTCATCAGGTGTTTCCCCTGTGAAAGGGACACAGCCAACAAGAAATTCATACAAGATCACCCCCATAGACCACCAGTCCACCGGCTTGCCTGCGTTCAACGTTCATTCAATCATTAGTTAATCATTCAATTTTATTTTATAATATACATCATCATTAAATATGGTCCGGTTGGAAAATTAGCTCAGATGGTACGAACGCTATGGTTGGCGCAGTTGTTAATGCGCTTTGTTTTGGTTCGAATGCTACCTGCCTGACAAATCCTAAAAAAATTATTCGGCTTGAGTGATGCTGCATCACTTACAAACAAATACAAAAAATACATACACGCCGTCGTGTGGATGTTGCAGCCTTTGCATCAAAGACAGTTTTAGCGTATCGGGGCAAGTAGAAAGCAAGGAAGAAAAAATTTGCTAAACGCGATTCAAGTTTTCAACAAATAATGAACTATTTTATGTTATCATCGTCATCAGCAGCAGCCTCACAACCTACCCACCAATTTAATACTCACCATACTCCTGTCTGAGAATGACCTCAGGTGATATGTACTCAGGTGTGCCAAAAATCTGCTTGTCCTTAAACTGCTTGCAATCCTTATCGATGGAGCCCTCGTACAAGTTTGTCGTCACTAGGTGGTGCAAAATTTCACATCAATTTATTTTTGTTTGTTGTGAACGTTTTTTTTATATTCTGTCGTTACAGAAATGTACATTTAATTTGTATGTAATAATTTAAAAAGACTAAAATATAGGTGTCCCATGAATGATGTAGAAGTTGAATAGGAAATATCGATCAAGCGTTGCATCATGCTGCACAACTACTTATAATGTAACAAACGTGAAACGACACGATGAACCTGATGTGACGTAGACAACAACGCAACAGCTCAAATAATTCATCCAAGAAGTAACAAAATAGCATCACAAAATGATTTGATCAACTAAATTTCGTGACAATGTATGATGAAATGAATTAGCACTAACGATTTATCAATCCGATCTTCGATAATCCAAAGTCTGTCAGCTTGATGTGACCCATGGATGTTATCAGCAGGCTATAACATTTTTAATTACATCATTATTGTTATTTAATTCTCAATAATTTAAAATTGAACGCCCGTTTAAATCTACTAGTAAATCAATTAATTAAATTAAAATTTACTTCAACAGAGCTTATCGAAAATTGAAAAGCAAAGAAAAGTAAATGTATGAAAAATTGAAAAAATCACCGAAAATAAACTAACAAACCGCTCATTAGTAAACCAATCAGTCGATCGGTCGGTCAGTCGGTCAGCTAGCCAGCCAGCCAGCCAACCAGCCAGTCAGTCAGTCAGCCAGCTAGATAACCAGCCAGTCAGTCAGTCGTTCGGTCGGTCAATCAACCAAGCAAGCAAGCAATCGCTCAATCAACATATCCTGATACGAACTTGTCCGGTTTAAGATCCCTGTGGACTATTCCATAGCTGTGAAGGTACTCAAGTGCCAGGACTGCCTCAGCAAAGTACATCCTGTATGTAGTTATTTGATTGCATTGTGAGTCCAACGGTCAGCATTTTCATTGTGATCATCGTTATCACCATCATCTCATAATAACTATATTCATAATCACACCAACATCACAAACTTCATCATCTTCATCACCATAATTATCATCATCATCTTTCTCCTTCTCCTTTCTCCTCCTCATCGCCATAATCAACATAACCAACAATATCATCACCACCATCATCACCTGGCAAGATCCATGGGCAGAGGACCGCCGATATTTTTCAGCAGGGTGGCCACATCACCACCTTCCACGTACTCCAGCACTAAACACAGATGCTTCTGATCATGATGGTAGTGACGACGATGGTGACGATAATGATGATGTTGATGATCATGATCATGACGATGATGATGACGATGATTATGACAATTTGTGATAACGATAAATATAATGACGATTGACGATGATGATCATGTTGAAATTGCATGCCGTGTATGATGATACTACGATAAGAATAATGATTACGGTGATCGTAATCAGAGAATGACAGTGACATCGTAATCATAATGATGAAAATAAATGTTCGAATGAAAAGATGCAGCGATGCTTGGTGAAATGATATTTTCGAAAATAAAAAAAAATCAAGATAACGACAGACATCATCGTAGTAATATGATGATGATGTGATAAAATATAGAGGGAACTATGGTGATGATGGTAATTTAGAAAATTTTTAAAACAAAATCGACCAACCTTAGTCTCAAAACTGCAAAAAAAACTGACAACGAAAGGATTGTCTGTGAAAGTTAATATGTCTCTCTCCGCAAATACTTGTTCCACCTGACGGACCAATGAAATAATGATGAATTAAATCGATGAATTCATATCGAACAATCATTTGTTTGTTCATTCATTCATTCATTCATTCATTCATTCATTCATTCATTCATTCATTCAATCATTCATTCATTCATTCATTATTTCAGTCCTTTGTTTGTTTATTTATCAATCTACATATATGTCTGTTAATCATTTATTCGTTCGTTCGTTCGTTAATTTCATTTAATCAGACATACATTCACATTCATTAGTTTGCCTGTTAATTCATTCCTTCATCCGTTTGCTCATTCATTCATTCACTCATTCATTTATTCACCCTTCCACTCGTACAAATGCTCATAATGTTGTTGAAAAAATACTTGATTGCGAAGGACGAGATGACTTTTCAATAGTTTCTTCATGGCGTACACCTGGCGCGTTTCCTTGCTCCTTATCAAGAACACGCTCCTGGTCGGTCGATTGATTGATTGATTGATTGATTGACAGACTGACTGACTGACTGACTGATTGATTGATTGATTGATTGATTGATTGATTGATTGATTGATTGATTGATTGATTGATTGATTGATTGATTGGTGGGTTAAAAAAATGAATAATTGACCGATTAAACGAATGACTGATTGACAAGTTAATTGATTAAAAAAACTAATCAACTGCAAATAAAAACTTAACAACAATCAGGTGATCAATCAAACAACAATGCAGTTATGAAACTTTAAATATTCGACCAACCAACCAACGAACCAACCAAAACCCAACAAACCAACCAACCAACCAATCAACCAACCAACCAATCAACCAACCAGCCCAGCCAGCCAGCCGGCCAGCCAGCCAACCATCCAACCAATCAACCAGCCAACCAACCAGCCAACCAAAAATCCCTAACCCATAAGCTCCATTGCTTATTAGTTTGATCATTTCAAAGTCCCCCTCGGAAGGTGTGTGGTGTCTGAAACTTTCTTCTTCCTGTACTGACTCCTGATGGTTGCTGTCACGTGGCTGTCGTCATGTAGTAGTGAGTGGTGGTGATACGATGAAGCTGATAACTAATGATGACGCGAATGTGATGATATGATGATGATCTGAAGACGATATGATGATGATGATGTAGTAGAAAGATGAGTAAATTTGATGATGATGAAAATGTCGTTATTTAAAAGATGCCTTTCAAATGAAAGCAAAGATGATGATGATGAGGAGGATTTTGGTAAACATTTTATTCATAGTGATTAAGAAGTTGATGACTGAGAATGTCGACCATGATGGCAAAATATTTTTTTGATGACAAATATTATTTAGTTATAAAAGAATTAGCAATTCTATTACAATACGTACACAAACCAAGTTTGAAATAAACAAAATGCAACATTTTTTGAAAAAAACAAAACAAAAAGCAATAAACAAAAAATAAACAAGTATGGTGAGTCAAACCTTGCCGCTGTCGTCATTACTGCAGCCACTTGCCGTGAAAATGACGTCACTGACTTCACATTCTGACGTCATTACATCTGCAAATGATGATTTTTGTCTCGTGAGATCAATGAGCATAAAAGAACGAGTGGACAGATAAAGAAATGAAAAGTGATTAAATAAATGGATGAATCAATCAACAAATGAACGAACTAATGAATGAATAAATGAACGAACGAATGAATGAATGAATGAATGAATGAATGAATGAATGAATGAATGAATGAATGAATGAATGAATGAATGAATGAATGAATAAATGAATGAATTAATTAATGAATAAAATAACGAAAGAATAGATAGAAGAATGAACAGCGATTAGTATGAACAAATGTGAAATAGAATAAAACAATGCACACATAAAACATGAAATAAACAGAATGAGGAAACAAATCGTAGAAACAAATATTCTCACGGTCATCATCATCATCATCAACATCATCATTATAATAATAATCATTAACATCATCATCACCATCATCCTAATCAGTATCATCGCCACCACCATCACGATAATCATCCTCCTTCCCACAACTAGCCACCATTGTTGAGATTCCTGTTCAGTCCCAGTTTATTGACTATGTACCTGGGGACATCTGTCTTGATGGTCTGCCTGATGTGGCCCTCTGCCGCCTCCAGCAGGAAGTAGAACTCAGCCGGGTCAAATTCCTGTGTGTGTGTGTGTGTGTGTGTGTGTGTGTGTGTGTGTGTGTGAATGTGTAAGCAGGGCATATGAAATTAAATGGCTTGATGATGAATGCCTAACATAATAAAACGAAGGAATGAATTGACAATAAAGTAATTATAAAATGAATAAAAGAATGGATAAATGAATGAATGAATGGTAGATGACATCCACAGACAGACGGTTAGACAAACAAACAGACAGACAGACCACTCACCAGACATTCAAGCAGACGAGACGGTCTGGAAAGAATGATGAGCAGTTTTTTGATCAACATTGACAAAGAGGTGTAACCATTCGGATTCCTATTTTTGGCCTGTAAGATACAAAATCCTAATGAATTTCAGGATGTCATAATGTAATTCAGAATTCAAAATATCATTTCAAAATTCAAAAATCAACATCATTATCGCAAACCATAGCAGCTACGTCGTTAACACTCCTCGTAAAATTTAACCCATTACAAAACCTGCATTACCATCATCATAGTATTGTGCTATGCGGAATGATGGCATAAGTATGCAGGCATTTAAACATTTCAACAGCAAGAAAAACAAATTATAGTTACGAAGGTTTATTTTTTAAAACAAATAACCGCTTGGTGCAGCTGTGAAATGAAATATAAAAAAAGTCCCAACATTGAATAACAGCGCGTCACCTCATTCAACAGTGTTTGAAGGCTTTCAGATATCTCATAAAAGTATGCACTGGTCAGTAACTTGTCCTTCGACTTCTGAAGACAATCCTTTGCTAGGTTTATTACCTGGTCGAAGGTTTAAATACAATGAAATGAAATATCTAATGAAATGAATGATAATTTGAATGACGCATATTCATGCGTCTGCGAATACAAAACAATATAGTAGTTTTATGACATCCTGGTCTTTCTTACTTGGTTCCAGACAAATCTAGCGGCTCCGGACGATTCAACATCCAGCGAATTCACCGCCATGACACTCGAATTGCTGACGTCACATACAGATGCCGACATGAGAGATGACGACGACGACAATGCTGCTCCAACCCCGTTCGTCTGAATGAACTGTTCCAATCTTTCTTCCATCTGTTCGACCGCCTTTGGAAACCTTTCCCTGTAGATGTCGTTCATGAGGACTGCTGCCTCTGCATCGGGTGGCCCTCGCGAGCAACTGACATGTGGGAAGGGAGGCAAAATGTTCAACATCAACATCGTGTCGGTTGAAAAGATGTGCTTACAATATAAAATATTAGAGAGAAAAAAATGGAAGATCATAAATGAAAGTAACAATAATAATTTGTTGTTGACATGTCACGCAACATATCAGAACATTATTTCGCTGCTGCAGTCTGACGTTCCATGCCAATGTATCAACATTTCGTAGTACGAGAAAAAAATGGCAGTTTCAAAAAACAACACACGCGATATATTACATTAAATATGAACAACACTCTGCAACAACAACGTAAAAAAAGCTATACATTTATACACAAACGCATTCGCTAACACGTACGTATGCAGCAAACAAATGCAGTCAAACTTAATAATACCCAATAAACACTACAGCACTCTCTGCCGACTTAGACAATTCATACACTCCCAATGCCTACCTGTAAGATCTCTGCCTAAAAAAACTTCCGCTCCTCGATGCGAAACCATCAGTGAAACTACTCAAACTGGATGAATAACTCCTCACTTCCTCGTCCTCCTCATCGTTGTTATCCCTATCCTGCTGGGAGCATGCATCGTCGATGTGGGGGGATATCATCCTGGTGCCGTCCCCAGCGGATGCCAGCAAGGAAGGTGGAGTGGCCAGCAGGCAGGTTGAGGTGGCCACCGTGGTTGCCGAGGATGTGGAGTCGGTGGAAAGGCGATGCGAACGATGAGATGATGGAGAGGTGGACATGCGAGATGGTGGCATGGAGTGAGGCATTTGTGCCGTCATCTGATTGGTCGGCGGCTGCTGGTGATGATGTTGGTGATGATGTTGGTGATGATGGTGCTGGTGATGGTCCGAGACTGCTAATCTCTCTTGCGAGGAATGCTGAGACTGTTCAGGTGGAAATTTTAAAAAGTGAAAACAAAAGTGAAAGTCTTTGAATGATTAGCTAATTTAGAAATTAACTTTGAAAAGTCTAGACATGAAAAACATCGGCACGAATGCACTGCAG